AAGTTTTAAATCTGGGAAAATACCTGTACAACTGTCTGATTAATTAATCTATTATTTCAATTAATGGTCAGTAGCAGAAGAGATTAAAAAGCATTTATGCCTAAAAGAATTATATGTTGTAATTAAAATGAATAATGCAATTAAGCATTGAAAATAATTTTGGATAACTTGTGATAACTGAATTTAAGTTCATTGTTGAGTTACATAAGTAAATTTTTTTAGAATTTGAAAAAAAAAAAAAAATATTTAGAATTGTTTATTGAAACAATTTCATTAAAATATTTTTTTACTGTAATCATATCCAATTGCAGTCTCTTTAGATTACACTGTTGGGGTATAAGGAGAATGATTTGGTTTAGTTTACTTAAGTATGGCAAAGCCCACTAGGACTATCTGCCTAAGTGGAGAAATGCCTTTGTGGAGGACTTTCGAAGGGAAACTGACTTATATACATGTTACACATGGAGAAAACCATGAAAATACCCATACAACCAGCCCATTCGAGGGATTTCGAACCTCGGACCGAAGTACCAGGTGCTCAGTGGGGGGAAAAGGAGCAATTCTAGAACATTACTAATTTATTGCCAAAAAACCATTAAGTCTAAGTACACCAAGTTTTTTTCCTAGCTATTTCATAATGCATATGTAACTTTGAGACGTCTTAAAATTCAGTAAAGGAAAGTAATGCAAGATGTAAGAAAAACATAAAATTTGAGGCTTCTTTTTAACATTGGGAATATTTTGAAAGAAAAAAATTCTGTATATATCTTTTAGAAAATCTAAGTTATTTTTCCTTAAAAAAAAAAAAAAACTTATATTTAAAGTTATATAACTTCCCTTTCCCCACAAATAAATAAATGCAGCATAGTTTCGTTACAAAGCAGTAGCTGTAGACATTTCACATGAAACACATATGTTCTACATGTGTAATTATTTATAGTAATATTACAATCAAAATATTTAATATTTGAGAATACATCATTTTTGTATTTTGTATAAGACAAATATGTTCTATATGCATAAATTATTTGGAAGAACTTTTAAGTAAATTATCTGCAACTTTTACATATATATCCTTTAAAATTTCACATGAAAATACATGTTCTTACATAATCACTTGCAATAACCTTACAAGCAGAACACTAGTAATCTACAAATATTCCCTTAGTAATTCACATTCAAAAATTACGATCTACTTACACTATTATTTCCTGTAATCTTTACAGATGTTTACATTGGTAAATCACATATGAAAAACATGTTATACTTACACGATAATTTCCTGTAACATTACAGATCAAAGATCTGTAACCTTTACAGGCATATGCTTCGGTAATCAACATACAAAAACTTTGTTATGCCTACAGAATAACTTCCTGTAACATTACATGTCAAACATCTGTAACCATTACAGGTATAATCTGTAAAGTTACTAAGAAAATTCCTGTTTTGATTACTCAAATAATCCATGGCATCCCAGTTTCCACGACTTTTCTTAGTAACTTTACAGATTTTTTTTTTACAGTGCAGTGGTGTTGTCTGACGACTCTAATTGCAAACTGTATGTTACTATGAATGATGACAGACAACGAATGATGACATGAAACCTTCTGAAAGTTATACAGGAGCAGATAATACAGATGTAGGGTCATAAAGATAATGTCATCACACAATTACGAATGCCTTATAGGGGAATAGAACTGCTGCATAGGTATGCCTCATCATAAAGGTGTCAGAACCTTTATGCAGGTCGGCCACGTCAACAGAAATCATTACAAAAGTGCATTGGCATAAATCGGTGCGCACCACTTTTTACTTAAAAAAAGAAAAAGAAAGCTTCTTAAAAAGTCAATACCTTAATGTCAATGCACTATTCTACATGCAAAATCTTAGTTTGTCCTCTGATTTATAAAGAAAATAAAATTCTTACTTACATAAAGGTGTCGCCCCATAAAAACAGTAACACCATTACGAAGATTGTTAAGGCCCGAGCCCAGTGGAGCCCGACGCTTCTAAATCTCAGTTTTTGAGTGAAACTATAGTTCCAATAGAAGCCACGGTGAGATGTGTTCAGGTATTTTAAATTATTATTTAACTATTCCTCATTAATCTAACTTAATTTAGTTTTTTTATTTATCTCTTAATAATTAATTTCTTTTTAAGAACTAATTATTTATTCCTTTATTTTTTTCTCATTTCCTCAATGGCCTCCGGTACGGAGTTTCTTGTCTCAGAAACTAACTCTTTCATGCTAAAACTGATTTTATAATGTTGCGAGCATCTTTGTTCCACAACACTTTCATGAAATTTTTCTTTTTTCCCCGATCATTAAGTTGACCTGCATAAAGGCAGGTGTCATTATAAAGGCCTCCGACGTAAACAAAAAACAAATGAATATGTTCATTTGTATCACTGCCGCGCCTTTCTATCCTATGATTTCAGTAGCTAGTTTGTTCTGTGAGTGAGCTCATGTTGCGAGAAACGAAAGCAAAGCTGTTATTAGAAAAAATTCAGTTATATTTCGAGAATTTTATATGAACACTTTTTTGGTTTTCAAACAAGAAAGTGATTAAAACTCAGAATGTTTTTATAGCCTTTTGTTAATCTAACGTGCTGCCTACTAATGTGCTTACGTGCAAAATTTCGAGTCGATCCGTAAATTAGCGCTTTTACAGTTGAGTAACTAATAAATTAATTCATGGAAACTTTTCGCTGATTTATAGTAATGCAGATAGGTAGATATAGTTAGATAAGTATACTTATATCACATTATACATCATGTGGTAGAGAAGAAATTTTGAGTTCTTATCATCTACCGAACTATAGTTTACAAAGGAATCATTAGCGGCCATTCCTTGAACTGTTGTTTAAAACTCACATGGAATAATGCCGTCTTTTTCACTATTCCATAGTGTAGTTAATTGTACATTGTAGAGCCATTAGCTTATTTTAAAACAGTAGAGCTGAAAATTGAGCAATGCCCTCGCCGGGACTCGAACGTGGACCTCTCCAATATGCGCCGAGTGTGCTACCGTTACGCTGCGAAGGCATGCAGAAAGGATGGAGCACCTCTGTAGGGTCATTAAGATTTTTTAAGTAGGAAACACGAAAAATGAGCAATGCCCTCGCCGGGACTCGATCTTGGAGATCTCGAATATGCGTCAAGTGCGTTACCGTTGCACCACGAAAGCGTGAAGAAAGGAGGGAGAAAATACCTTATTAAGCTTACCAATACTTACAGCAATATTAACGAATATTTTAATTAAAATAATTAATATGAGATTTAATTATAAATGGAAAATAACTTTTTTTTTCGTTTAACGTTTATTCTACATAATATTAATTATTATAAGAAAACAGCTAACATCTGAGAGTTGAGGAAGAGAAAAGGAAAAGGAAAAAAGAAAAAAACATGCCTTCGAGATTTTCCAAGATTCGGACACTTAAAAGAGAAAAGCAGCGAAAGTTCTTTCGAAGTCCCTGATATCGACTTTCATACCCATTTAAAGTCAAAAAAGGTCTTATCAAATTGTTATGATAATGTTGTTAGCTCTGATTGGTTTCCTCCGTGCCTACCGTGCGTTTTTAAATTCCCGCTGTTTTTGGAACGCATTATTGCACGTATTCGGTCCTGGAGAAATTCATCTTTTAGTTAGTTGTATTTGACGTTTTAAAAGATGGATTATGAAGTGCTTTATGCTAAGGTAAGTTTCTAAATGGAAGTTTAATTCTCATAAATGTCTTCTGAATTTAAACTGTTTAGAGTTCTATGTTTAGTTTTGTGAACGAGATGTATTTTAAGTTTCATTTCTCATAACTGCATTTAAATGTAGCTTTTGCTTTAGTTTTTGAAATGTTTTCTCTTAGTATCTACAAGATGGATGTTTGAAAATAGAAAATTTCCTCTCGCTTGACGAAGTGGAGGAATTAAAGAAAGGTGTAGCGGATGTCGTTGAAAATATACCTGATGAAAGCGCTCGTGTGTTTTCTGTATATGGAGCTGGAAAACAAAGAGTAAGTCTTTAGTTTTTAAAAAGAAATCGCCGCATAAAAAAATATAAAATTTGAAAAGAAAGTTAAATTAAAAATATAAAATTTGAATTAAAAATATAAAATTTGAAAAGAAATCGCAACATATTTTAAATATTTTAGCTGCATGTTTAATATATTTTAATCAAATATTAATACAATCTATTGAATAGGAATTTCCTTATAATTGCATATTTCTGAATCAAAGTCTACATAAAAATTTAAATCTTTCTGAATAAAAAAGCGAAAAAGGTTTGTTTGAACTAAATACTAAAAAAAAAATCTGCTTAAAAGCAAACGAATTTGAATTTTTGAATTTTGATTCACTAATGAGTTAAAATTCTTTATATTTAACAAAAAAACTCTTTCTCCCCACTTTTTTTTTTTGTTGTTGTTGTTGTAATTAGTTATTAAATGTTCACAAAATTTTAACATCCTAAGAAAGATTTATGAAACAAATAAAACTGATATTAACTCATTAAAAAATCATTTGAAATTATTTTTTCTTTGTTCAACAGATGTTTTTTTGCCTAATAATGCCTTCATTCAAAAGTTTAATGTATTAATGCAGAGGAATCAAAATTTGTTAAACATTGTTTCAGACATGTTACGTTGAACTTAAAAATTCGGCAATTTTCAGTTTTTGCCATTTCAATTTTTCAGTGCAAATATGTATCTGAACAATAAAAAAATTTAAAACAAATATTAGATTTCTGAAGTTGTATGATTTAAATAAGAATGGAAAAGGACTTTTTCGGATCATTTAAATTTTTCTTCACGGTTTAAGTTGCCGATTTAAAAAAAAAAAAACACTAGAAAGATTAGAAAAATACATAGATTTAACAATACAGCAACAGAATCAGCAAACTGTAAATTGAAAATTGCATTCCATTACTTTCTTTCTTTCTTTTTTTTCCCCTAATTTGCTCGCTTGAAACGATTATACGTTAATCTCTATATAACATTCAACCAATAGTTGCTGTTAAGTATAACACTTACAGCAACTATTGGTCGAGATGTCTTGCTATGTGCTATAATTGTATCTTTTACACTCAATTTATTTTTTTAATTTCACAAACGGGTATTCAGTGCTTGAAAGCAATTTATTCCGGTCAACATTCGAAAGTTTCTTTTTTTCTGTTCTTACAGTATCAATTACATTTTGTGTTCTTAAATTAAACGTGCTTTTTAGACTTATGTATATTCAAGCCTAAAAACGGCTAGGCAGGCCATTATTAAAGGCACCAGTATTTACGGCAGGCCACGAAAAAGTAGCTTCCCTTTAATACTGGTGACACGCACTTCGGAAGAAACTTCTAGTCTGTCGGCTATCTATAGTTTTTCAGGTGACTTGGTGTCGCCAGCTTAAGTACTATTCCAGCTTTATACGAGTATTGCCTTCCTATTCACAACTTCTGTGCACTTTACATAAAAAAGACGGGGTCCATTTTATTACATTATCGCCAGATACACGCTACATTTTTTATGATTCACATTGCACATATGTATATCTCAAAATAGATTGACCTTGAATCCATTAAATAGGCACCCAATGGGAGAAATATTTGTATTATCCACCACAAATGTTTCCTGTTCAAACCAAACTTTTGCAATTAAATGCAACATTTCTGAAAAAAAGTACATTTCTGTCTTTTATATAATTAATCTCCTTAAAACAAACTACAGTTCTAGAAATAAAATCTGCATGAAATTCTAAAGCTAGAACAAATATTTAACTCTCCTGCATAATATTTTCTTAATTAATGCTTAAATGGAATGAAATTTTGACGTGTCCCTAAGTCCTAGGTTATAAAGACACATATTCTTTTATTAATATATCTGATCGGAAAATAAAGACACTATTTTTTTCTTCCTTGTCTTTCATGCAAAAATATTATACCATTTTTTATATAGATGAAAGAGAAGACCAAAAGAGGTACATAAACATCGTCATGTAGTATCTTTCACATAAAGTTAATGCTGCTTGGAACAAAATGAAGTAGAAGCAATAAGGACAAATTCTCAAGTCCTTATGCTTCGTTTTGTATTTGATATTTTCCTGTCGCAATAATGATTGAATAACTTTTTAATCCATATGTGTGCTAGTTATCTCCAAGAAAATATTCTGACAATTTGAACGCATTTGACATAATTATTTGTCACATTTGCATTTATGCATTTATAACTTTCTAATCTCAGATTTATTTTTCAGAAAGCTGATGAATATTTTATAAGCTCTGGGGACAAAATCGGGTATTTCTTCGAAAATGATGCATTCGATAAAGATGGTAAACACATTTGCATTTTCTTTATACATAATTGTGAAAATATAACATAATTAAACTAAGATGTATTTGCTACGACTTTCATTTTTGCTTTACTTATAAATTTAATGACGCCGTTTACTTTTTTGTAAGAGAACAACAAAGATAAGTACTTTGTATCCAGAATTTTTAAGTGAATTTTTAAATAAAAATGCACCTTTGGTAAACTTTATTAACAAAAAATTATTAAGATTTTCCCATTTAAACCAAAACTACTGGTAAAACAAAACAGTGATAAATTTGGAAAATAAATCTTTAACATGGCTATGCGTAATATAACATTTTTAAACTTAACACACGTTCAAAATAATACAAATTACGAAATAATAAAATCTGCACAATCCCGAACAGTATATGAAATTACAAATGAGCAGCGCCCTACTTATCCTGACTAGGGCCCGGGTCAGAAAATTTCTTTGGGGACTCCCCTCTGCTTCAGTACTTCAGTAATGAAGAACCGAACTTTATGGAGGTATTTAAATTTTTGGCTAAAGTGCAGAATCGCCCACTTGTTTGATTGGCGTTTGTTTGGCGCTTTTTACAAGAGTAAGAAGAATTGGATTTTTGTCAATTTTCTTTGACTTTTTAAGCCAAAATAGGTCAATGTGTACATGGATAAAGTCAAGAGAGTCCGCAATGTCATTTTTGTGCAATTCTGGGATTTTTTTTAAGTGAAAATAGGTCGATGTGTAAATGGATACAGAGTTTGTGCAATTTTTAAAAACACGCCAAGCAGTGGACGATTCAGCACTTTCCCCAAATTTTTTACCTCATTATAGATATATAACACGTTTCCGAAATGCAGTTTTTTGATTTTTAACTTTGTCATCTAGTTGCGAAAAATTAATATCCTTGCTGACATTAGGGCGGAATTCAGCTAAATTTTCGCAATTACGATGGCTCAACTAAGCCAATCAGAAGCCCAATTTTTGTAAACATTATCGCATTTTGCGATATGTTAAAATACAGGTTTTTGATTGGCCAAATTTCTCCATCAGAATTGCAAAATTTTAGTTGAATTCCACCCTAGAAAGCCATGGATTTACGAAATGTAGATTTTTTGTGTGTGTGTTCATACGATACATTAATGGGAAGTGCTAACGTAAAATTGACGGATTTTACACTGTAGTGATATTAAGTTCATTAAAGAAGGAAACATAAAATAAACTTTCTATTCGATTTGGGGGCCCCTTTCTGGTGTGGGGGCACGGGGGAACGGCTCCGTGTGCCCCTGCCTTAGTCAGGCTCTGCAAATGAGTTTAAATGCATATGAATAAGACAACTCTCTATTACACTAAAAATAATAAGTACCAAAACATAAACAGTTGCCGAATTTTACAAGTCTTTTTTAACTAATTTTAACAAGTCTTTTTTAACTAATTTTAACAAGTCTTTTTTAATTATTTACGCTTAAATATTCCCGCTTATGTTACATATTAATAAGATTAAAACTTATTAATTGTTCAAGAATATTAAATACAATTTAAATGACATTGTAAAGGTATGCTTGATCGTGAGCCGAAACTGAGAATTCTTAATTTATCTCCCCTTTGTCGAAGCTTTTCATGACTAATTAATTTGTTTCTAAATATATAGAGCAGATGTCCTTACAACTGATTTTCAGTTAAAATTTTTATTTATCTCATTAACGGATGTCTAAATTTTAGTTAGAACTTTATATAGTATAAATTCATTAGCATCTTCTAAAATTAAAGAAATACAGCTACTATAGCCTGAACATCTACTGAAATACCATAATTTTTTTAGGAATTATTTTAATTTATTTTACAGCATATGGTTTCAAGAAATAGGATTTTTATTTTAAAAGTATCATTCAACCAAATAATTCCGTAATAAATTTATTCTGCTGATGTCAAATACATTTCATTACAGTGAATAAAAAACATATAAAAATGTATTTTCATAAATAAAAGTTAAAGTTATTTTAACACTTTTATTTTAAATTATATATATATTCAGAATCATCATTCTTTCAAACAGTAATTTTGATTATCTTATTTTGAATTATATGTAATCATCGTGCTTTCAAATATTTTAAAATAAATATGAGTCTGTAAGTGTTAGTATTTTAAGTTTTTGATTTATTTCGGATTTACTAACAATAATTTTATTTTTTTTAGGAAAGCTACTGATGGATAAGAAGCAAGCCTTGAACAAAGTTGGTTATGGTAATAATATTATAATATCATTAGTATGCCTTCTTTATGCATATTTTAGAACTTTTTTAATATTTTACATCTGCATTCAATTTCATTTTCTGTTCTTAAAATTACCGGCTCGGGTATATGCTAACAAAACTAGGATGGATGGAAAATTAGATGGGTAAAGTACATATAAATATTAGAAGTTTTGTGTTTTTGTTTCATATGTATAATTTGTACAATATTTTAAAATTTTAATACTCCTTTGATTGGCACCCAAAGACTGCTTTATCACATGAAATCACTTTTCTAGGCCCGACTTTTTGTAGTTCTCATTCTTTAATCTCCTGCCGTAGTTTTATTAAAACTAACTGTCTGTATGGCCCTTCTGTTCGCCATTCTTAGCATGATTCTGAGATACTTAATAAAAGCATCTAAGCATCTCTGTTCTAAAACAGGAAAATACGACTTATGGGAGGGAAATAAATAAACATATTTTTAAAAAGCTTTAATAATTATCGTTATTTCTTTTAAAGAAAGAAAAGACTCAAAATAGTTTATCTGCTCAAATACAAGTTTAATTCCACTTTTTCCTTTCACTTCAGACTATCCTCTTTGCATTATAAAGCATGTCGAAGCTGGCAATAAATATTTATGCCTTTTCTGATAATCACATATCGCTCCACTGAAAAACCACGTACCCTACTATGCCTTTTCTAGAGATTAACATTTCAGAGTAATTCCAAAAATAATTCAATTACAAATTAAATATTAAGTTGTAATGTTACGCGCTTCCAATCTGCACGCAATAATAGTGGTGACTGCTAAGAACTGGAAAGTAGACAAAGTCTTGAGAAGGGTTTAAATCCCTTTTTATTCAACTTTAGAAATTACAAATGCGTGCTCTTGACGCTCACAAACTACGCCGACCCGGCGGTAAAATAAAAATAAGAAACTCAAAAAAGAATAGTAACAATAGTGACTAACTACGAGGCTCTCTAAACGTAACTAACCTCATCGCGTTCTAAGAAACCGCTGATAATTCAGCAAACTTCTGAATATTACGTTGAAAGATTAACAATCTGCCGAGGCAAGCACACAGGCCGAAACGCGTGGTTCTTCAATTTCTAACTAGCCACCTCCACGCTCGTGAAGCAAGAAAGCACACTTTCGAACTCGTTTCCCTTCTATTTAACTCAGATTACTCCCGCTGACAATTTGAATCCTTGCGCGTTCTACTAAAATTTACATACTCTGGCATTGGCTATTCCAGGAGAAAAGTAAGGCTTGACAGGAAAGATAGTTTAAACTTAAAATAAATGTTAGTTAAAATAAATATAAACCCTACAAAGTAATGCTTCGAACAATTATTGCATCTCAATATGATAAATCGTATTAATTTAAAAGCAAATGAATACCTAATATCACAAAAATCAATGGTAATAAACTAGTATATTTCTATTAGGTTAAAAAAAAAACCCGCAATTTGGAGCTATTGAAAAAAAATATGTGCATTTAATGTAAAGGAGCGAAAATAAATGCAAAAAATATGAACTAGGAATGATGACTCCAACAGAGATAGCGTATCTAGGAGAGTTGTGGTATGTAAAAATGGTGAAGGTTAAGCAATAAAGTCAGCTTCAAGAACTTTCCTAAATTCAAGGTTTCGGTGATTAAGATATATTTGAGTCTTCTTACTGCATTATTGCTACAAATGGTTGTTTTCGAAAGAATTTTTAACCTTGAGAACGATGCGTTAAGAAAAAGATGTGGCAAAGAAATGTAATAGAAATTACTTAAAAAATCTTCTCAAAAAAAATTTAAGTAATCTCTTGTACACATATACTTTTCTATTTTTAAAGGAGTTTTCTTTGAGTGAGGTTTTTTTTTTTCTTTTCTTGAAAATCACAAGCTCAGTTACATTACAGAAAGAAAATGCGAAACTTAAAAAATAACTACTTTTCAACTGAGAAAATCTGATAATTTTCGACTCCAAAATTAATCATTAAATGTTTTACTGATTTTAATTTTTTTTAATTTAAAATGAATTACACGTCATGCGAATATAAAATTTTCTGAGTAACAGATTAAAGCTAACAAAGCTGTAACCGTAAGAATACAATTTAAAAAAGAAGGCAATTTATTATGTAAGAATACACTCTAAAATGTAACGTTTATCCTAATTATTAACACTGTTATGCTCTTGTTTTTAAAAAATTACCTTCCTAATCTTCTATTATTAATTTTTTAAATATGAATTTCAAATTTAAATCCTAGACTTCTCATTCTAGTAATTAAGATAATTGCGCATTTCAAAAGTCACAAAAGGAACTCTTTACTATGAACCCAGGAAGTTCTAGGTTGTACCAAATATTTCTATAGTTGAAAATTTCATGCCATAAGGTACAGTTCTTCTACTTTGATATGTACTTTAAGAAATATATCTTCATTGACCCCGTTGTATTATGATGCTATGTTAGCGAAAGGACTAACTACAAATATAGGTTTAAATTCAAATCCCGACTAATGCATGTGTGCAAACTAGTGCACCACCTTTTGGTCCTAAGTAAATTGCATTTTCCTTTTCTGTGTATTCTGATTCATTTCATGTGAGAGGCATGTGAGCAAACGTTTTACAAGGGTTTCATGAATAGTAGTACGACTGTGCCCATCGACATTAACTCTTAAAACAATGCTTTGAGGAAGATGGTAGGCGGCTAAAATTTCTTGCTGTTCTACGGTACTTTATACATTTATTTTGGAAGGATCCGCTTTGTTATAGAACTCGAAGCTCTGAGCGTAACGTGTTTTCGAGTCTCTCCCTTCTTACTTTGTTCAACGTCATACCATGTTACTGATGCAAATTATATTTCATATAAAACCCATTTTATATAATGAATATTGCGATAAAGCCTTACAATTCAAATTTTATTTTAAAATTTAAAAAATGAAGTACATTTTGTCTTATTTGTATGTTTATTTTCATTTTAGTAGGTATTATTTATATAAATTTAGATATTTAAAGCCCAGGATCTTCATTCCCATCTAAAAGACACTGAAAAAAAAAAAAAAAAAGAAAAAGGTTCTTACTGATTTTACTATGAACTTTAATTAAATTATATTACATGGCGAGATAGATGAAATTAAATTGTTCATCAGTTCAGTATTTATATTTATAAATAAAGCGTAGAATTACAAAATTTTGTAACTTTAAAACATGTAAAAAATTCCTTTCTTCTGTTACATTATATCGTGATAGTTATGTCCTAATCATCTTAAAATTTTAGTTAAAATATCTGATGTGAACACCGCAAGGCTTTTTGTACAGCCTATTTTTTGCTACATTTTTTGCTGCATTTCATTTAAACTTTATTTGATCAAATTTCATTAGAGACATAGTTCTCACTTCGCGGCAAGGCAAAAATAGATAAAACTCAAAACATCTTCATTAAAATACTGTAAAGTAGTGAAAAACCTAAAATACCAAATACAATTTAAAACAATTTTTACAATCAAAATTAAAGTTTCTTTTCAAGAACAAGTGATTCGGCCACGGGTAGGAAGACCAAATTTTCGGTGCACAAAATTGAAGTTAACTTTTGGTCACACTGGGCAAAAAGGCAATGTGGTTGGTGCACAAACTGACTTAATTTACTGTTCTACTAAGAGCTTCAAATGAAAACAAATGAGGCCTCGTTGGTCCTAGTGCCACTTAAACTTTTAAATTCACGATAATTCTATAACGATAATTCTATAACTATTGCATGCAGATTAACTAAAGGTATAAAAACCTAAAAATCTTTAGTTCCATATAAGAACATAAGAACAACATAATTCAACCACTTTTAAAACAAAAAGTGCAAAACCAGTATAAGAATAAAAATCTTGAGCACCTCGAGCAGGGTAACAGGGAAGAAAAAAATATATATATGTATATATGAGAAATATTACATATGTTTGGTGCGGCTGATTGCAACAAGAAAGGGAGGTGCACAACTGCATGTTATAGCAGTCCTACATACAAAATTTCAACGTTCTACAGCAACACTTTTTTGCGTTATTCGAGATACGTACAGACGTACGGAGGGACAAACGTCACGAAAAAAATCTCTTCTGAATTCATTTTAAATCCATTTTACAATCCGTTTCGGAAAACTGAGTCCTTTATTCTGTCCGTATGTACAGATGTCGAGCAAAAAAAATCGTTCAGATGGATTGGAGAGCGATCAAAATGGATATTTTCGTTGAAATATTATACCCGAAATGTTTCGAGATTACTATTAGAAGTAAGTAAAAATCATGTCATCTTCATCACTATAAATTATAATTTAATAATCTGTAATTTCGAATAAAAAATACTGCAGTTCTTTACTTCTCAGAAATTAATAACTATTATTCTTAAAAAGTACTTCTGTAAATTAAATATTCTAAAAGAAAAGCTTAGTTGAGAATTGGAATTTAATAAAGTTAAACTTTTCAGTTCTTCCTATGACAACTTTCTTTCATTTCATATTATATTAATTCATATAAGAACACTCGTTATTTTTATTAGCTTATCCTATCCTCAAATTTTTGTTAAAAATAAAAATTCAAAATTTTCTTCACATATTTTTAATACGAAATTAAATAGTATTGAAATATCTTCTCTGAAACAAATCTAGTTCTACTATTATATTTTTAACATGTTCTCTATTGACTGTGCACTGAAACTTGTTCTGGTGATATCATCTAATAGCTAATCAACCCGACAGCGCGAGATAAGGTATATGTTTCACTAATTTTTCCACGTTAGTCTGCTTCTGAAATTTCGGATATCTACCCTGGCAGGGAATGTGTTGAGATCTGTAATAAAAATTGTATGAAACATATTTTAAACACTACAGAAATTATATTTGTAGATCTCCTTAAAAATGAAGACAGATGAGAAAAATCTTCATACCACAGAATATTAAACAGTAGAGTAATGCAGAAAGCCACTGAGCTAAAAAATTTTCAAAGCAATTAAAAGTTGATTAATTGCCTTCTTTGAGTCTAATTATTAATTACGAACAAAAATTGCTTTAATAAAGGACATTCAGCTCCTACCTTCTTTATTCTTTTGTAAGCCTTCAATTCATGAAACTGCTTGGTCTGCTACGGCATTCTTTTTGACTCATTCGTAATGAAAACAAGTTGATTCAAATACAAATTTTTCTAAGATGAGGAATTTTCTGTCTTTTGCTACTCTACATATTTCTACGAAATTATAATCTCAATTAAATATATTCCGTTTTCTTCCAAGACTCTACTTTTTATAGATAAATTCGAAATTCTCATTAATTCTTTAGCTGTGATATTTAAGTTATTTTTATCCATATTACTATTTATTAATATTTGTTATAGTAATATATAACTCGTAATCTTCATAATTTTTCTTATTAGTATTTCTAACAATTATTTTAAATAGTGCTATAGTTTAAATATGTGTTGAAAAGTGCACCTAAAATAGTGTTCATTATTCTAGCTCTGCATTGGTGGAATCCAATATTTAAGAAGCATAATTTCAGTCTAAAAGTAAAGGTAAGGCTTTAATTTTAAAAAAGTTTGTTAAATAAGCTAGATATAAATACCGACTTGTATTTACAGTTAGGAACTAAATATCTTACCGACTCCATTTTGCTAATTTAAATTTAAAGAACTTTTCTCAGTCATAATTTGTTTATTTCAGGCAAGGAATAAACCAAATTTTATTTTCATATCATCCAAAAATGAATACCTATGGATTCAGAGTTTCTAATGGTCATTTAGATTAGAAACTGCTCATTTTTCTGGGTAAAAGGTTTTATTTGAAAGAACTCCTTGTATATTCCAAACGCTTTTAAGTTCACTTTTAACCACACTGCATTAAAATCTTTGAAATTGAGGTTATTTGAGAAAATTTCCCATCCGATAAATGTTTATTAACAGGTTAATCAAGTTCAAAATTTGAAAATTTGCGGCTGTGCCGAATTAATTGAAAAAATCAAGAAATGAATTAAATACATTCAAGAACGTATAAAATTTAAAAATAAATAAATGAATTATTAATGAAATAAAATTAAGAAAAGAATGTTATTCTGTTAAAGACCCATATTGTTTTGCGAAAAATATCTTATTTGTTAATATAATACTGAAATGATGGTAAATACTTAATAATTAAATATTTAAAAAAGAAATAAAATTTAAAAGCATATGTTTAAATGATAACGTTGGTGTCAAATACGTACATATTCGTTCTCGTACATGTAAGCAGCGTGCGACAGCGGTGGATTTAAAAAGCGGTCACTTAGTGAACTCTTCTTATGTGATTCATACACAAGCCTCAACCAATAGAGCATCAAATGGAGCCTTAACCAATTCACAACTCAACTGGCTTATAATCTCAACTTGTTCACCCTAACTTAAACAAAGAAAATGTCGCCCTAACTTGTGCCTCGGCATCATGAAAGATAAGCTTACGTTATTATTTGGAAAAACTATAAGATGTATTCAGTTGCCTGGGAAATATACCTTCTTCTAGTCAATCTTTACTGAAAGAGAATCTTCTAAGAAATTGTTTTCTGTTATTCTTATTCTGTTTCAACAGCATTCCTTAACAATTAAAAGTCGGGTCATTCAGATAAATAATTTACTTTTCTAAGGCCCCAGAAAGTAAAACTTTATGTTCGAATTAATCTGTCATACTCGAGCCTGCCCTTCTCCGAATTCTTTCATCACATACTTCTGAAGAGAGCTGGTAAAATGGAGAATAGATACACAGAAAAGCAAACCAAATGGCTGAGTTGGTATCAAATAAAAAATACTGACAAAATATTTACTTCAAGAAACGTGCTTAAACGAGAATGTCAGAGATGAAGTTTGTATTCAGTTTTCAAGCTTTCACGATCTTACAAACTGTGCATTTTCTGTGTGCATGGAAATAAAGTACGGACAGAATAAAATATTATAACTTGCTTACGGGTACGTAATAGATTGAATTCAAGCATTTCAGATTTCTGGAAATTTCCACTAAATATTCGTACAGTTGTTGTTCACTGTATCACAGAGTGCAATCGATAGAGACACTTCAAACTACTAAGAATGTTAAACACAACGCAAGCAAAGCGACAGCACTATGATAAGCCAGTAGAAACAGAGGTAACTTCTCATCCTAGTCTTGCTGGTTTCTGGAAACGATTGTAATATCTTTTTATTTAATAAGTAACTATATTTATTGTTGAAGTGGCAACGCCATATTTGCATTATGTAACCGTTGCTCGGCAACGTGAGAAATTGTTTTAAAATTTAGAATTCTGAAGTTTTTACCAGCTAGTAGTAGTATGAAAGTTTTGTCACTAAATAATTTCTTCAAATTATCTATCTAAGTGAACCAGAAATAAAATTTATGTTCTAATAAGAAGATTGCCTATTTTGTCAATTACTGCAAAAATACATTTCACCATCAACGAGAGGTTATTAAGGAAGGTTCGATTAACCTATTTACCATGCCGTCTGATTGAGTATGTAAAGATGTTATTTGGGTTTTGTCGATGTCAAGTAGTTTGCAGAGCTCTTTATTTACAGCCGAGCTATAATTTCTTCCTTGACCATAATGCTAATGAAGAAGCACTCCAATGCACTGCAGTCTGGAAACCTCTGCTACCGGGATAGCCTTTTGGTCAAGAATATGATACGCTTCAGACTACTTGAAGTTTAATAGCCAGGTCAACAATGCATGATCTGTAAGGGGCAGGAATTTTATGCCGTAGAAGTAATGGCGAAAATGCTGTATAGTTTAAACTATTGTGAGCAACACTTTCCTGGTGATACAGCAATTCCTCTCCGGTTTAGATAGACACTTGCTTCAGTATGCTAAGACACGTTCTTCATCATTTATTTCTTGGGACAAAACAGCACCGACACTCTCATTACTCGATTTTCTCTCGAGAATAAATTTTTTGTCGAGCTGAAGGTACGTCGGGATGGTCACAGATGGTATAGGCATTCTCACATTTTTTTGTCCACAAAAACTTCTGTTTTGCTCTCTGTCAGTTTTGTAAAGTGGTTTGCAATGGAAAAGAAGTCCACCACAAATCTGCTATAGTAGGTGCAAAACCTCAGGAAACTTCTCAGTTGACGGACAAATTTCAGAGCGTTTCCAGTCTTTAACTGCTGACACTTTTCGGAATCTCTACGCACGCCTTCGGCTGAGGTCACATGCTCGAGGTAAATCACAGGTTTGTGTGTGTATTTAATTATGGCAAAGCACACTAGAGCTATCTGCCTAAGGGGAGGGATGCCTTCGTGGAGGACTTTCTAAGGGAAACTGGCTCGTATACACGTTACACATGGGGAAAACTACGAAAACACCCATGCAGCCAGCCCTTTCGCGGGATTCGAACCTCGGACCGAACTACCAGTGTTCAGCGATTTTACCGCTCGGCCGCTGGCACATATTGTTTGAATAGTTAACATTTAGCGGGACTTAAGTTTAGATTGGCTTCTTTCAGTTTCTGAAGCATCTTCCTGAGATTTTTCTAAATGTTCTTCAAAACTCTTCCAGAAGATGATGATGTCATCCAAGTAAATCCAACAGACTTAGTAGGAAAGCCTTTTCAACACGGCCATCAGGCGATCGAATGCTGCCGGCGCATTACATAATCCAAACAGGATCACCTTGAACTACCAAACTCTTTGTCCGGTAGTAAAAGCGGTCTTTTCTCGGTCAAGGATGTCTATGTATCTAACAATATCCACTTTCGTTCTGAGCAGAACAATGGAAGAAGCCCAAGGATTACCTGGAGGCTCAATAACATTGCTTTCTTGCATGCCTCTTAGAAGTTTGCCTACCTGTTCCTACATAGCAATCAGTAGAAGTCTTATATGATGCTTTATTGTTGAATGATCCCCAGTATCAGTTCTCTTCTGTGTCAAACTGGTTGGACTTACGTCAGAAGACGAGCAGGAGCAAACATCTTGAAATACATGAATGACACATTCAACAGCACTTCTCTATTCATTGCTTAGTTAGGCAATCTGCAATAATTCCAATAACAGAGTCTCCGAAGACACACAGATGGGTGGACTATTGTGGCGTTTAACACAGGAGTACATGCTCCAACCAATTCATCTTTCTTAATGATTTTCCTTTATCACTGACGTTGGCAGCTCTACCAGGAGAGCTGTCGTCAATCAGTCGACGAGTGCCGAGGCTACAACTATTCCTCGCAGCGTGTTCAGTTCTTGAGATATTCCATTACGCCATATATAAAATTTCTGCTTTCGCCTATAGATCCAGAAAGAAAAGAATTATGCTCTTGTCAGTACTGTTATATTGTCTTGAACTATGATTTGGTGTACAGATTTAACTCCTTCAATCATTAATTCCGAATAGCGTTATGTCCTTAGAGGCAGAATGATGTTCGTTAGTATTAAAATCCAAGGAAAAGGTTTATGACCGTAGAAAGTCTAATCCTAGTATGCAAGGGTCTAAAATATTCACTATATATGCCGTATGATGGTACGCGGTATTTCCAAACTTGATGTTAATGTTTAATTTTCCATTGTCGAATATATTCCCAGACACAATCTGGAGGGTAACGCAGGATGGCGTTCAGATGAGTATGCTTTCCGTCTATCGATCGAGACCTTTACGTATTATGGCAACGTTGGCTCCTGTATCGATGGTCACATTGCAAGGAACTCCATTAATATGTCCCATGAGGAAAAGTCCATTACTGCCTCCACTCATTTCAGAAATCTGAAGCACTTTAAAATGAGGCTTCTCATTATCTGGCAAACTATGCCCCACGAGATGGTCACTAATTACTTTACCTCTTTCTTGCTGAGAGCAGTCTTAGCTTCCGTGCCCTGAGGTGTTCTGCAGTTTCTTCGTACTTGGTCTTTTGCACCACAGTTTTAGCCATTTAGGGTCTGTTTCTTTCCACTCCTTTTCTGTCTCAAGGCATTGATTTGTGTGCTTAAATCGTCTAAACGAAGAGTCATTTGATCCAGTTGATTTTTAACTTAAGCAGCTCTTATTGGGTGGCGGTCTCTACGAGTTGCTTGCTGGGCTACCTCGAATCTCATGGCGTATACTAGAGTATCCTTGGCATCCGTCATTCGCAGAGTTCTCTTTTTTAAAGTTCCCCGATGCCATAGATGAAGTAATGCAGGGACAAGATTTCCCTTGTTTTTATCGTGCACTCCGGAAAGGCGAGATGAGACAGCCTTCAACATCCGTGGAAAGTTTCTGGAGTTTTTCCGTGGGCTTCTGATGATGGAATTTTAATTGAAGCTTGCTATAATCTTATAAACACTTCTTCCCAACGCGCAGCTCCAATGCGACGGATAGAGCCTCGAAATCTAGCCTCTAATTTTCGGGAAGAGTCTGAAGGATATCCGCTGCGCCTGTTCTCACGGAAGGGGCAAGATGGCATGCCTTATCTTGGGAACTCCATCCATTCGCGTTCGCCACTACAGAAAATTGTGTCTTATACTCTTCCCAGGAGACTTTACCATCGTATTTGGATACCTTCAGAGAGGGACGGAAAAAAAATGGG